CACATGAAGATTCGAGACTGGGTTTCGATAGATACGCAACAATACATTGACAATGAAAGAATATGGGATTGAGAATGAGTTAAGAGAGCGAGCGAGCAAAAGAGATTGAAAGAAGGAGAGAGAGAGAGAGAGAGAGAGAGAGAGGGAGGGAGGGAAGGAGGGAGAGAGAGGGCGAGAGAGAGAGAGAGAGAGAGAGAGAGAGAGAGAGAAAGAGAGAGAGAAAGAGAGAGAGAGAGAGAGAGAGAGAGAGAGAGAGAGAGAGAGAAATTGAGGTCGGTAAATTAGGGGGAAGAAAGGAGAGGTTTGGGGAAAAGGAAAAAAGAGGAAGAGTCATGGGTCATGGACGTTTCCTTAAAATCGCGACTCGGTTAGCACATCCATAAAGCGATAAGACCACCCCCCCCCCCCCCCCCCCACCCATTGAAATAGAATTTACGTAGCCCTTGTACATTATTCAACCCATACATATTATGGACTTTTACTCTGAGTTTAATTCAACATTGTAACCTTCTCCCTTTCTTGATTCCATTGCCGGCATTCATGTTTAGCAGGTACATCATTTGAATACGTGGCCTCGATCCTGCGATGAGGGGGGGGGGGGGGGGGGGGGGTGTAGTTGCCAATGAAACAATCACGGAATTAGCAGTATATCATTAATCATGTATGATGTATGCCACATTTGGCTTTGCGGGGGGGGGGGGACATGCCTACGTAACCCACACCCACCCGCCTCCACTGGATCATCATTCCTGCCGCCTCATCATCCAACACGGATGGATGATGAGGCGGCAGGATTGTAATTTCATTTTATCCGACCTTTTTCGTCAATGTTATTCACTTTCACGTTTGACTCCATCTTTAGTTTGTTGTTTTATAAGAAAAGAAAATTCTTGGACATTTTAATAAATTTAATTTCGCCATGTTGGCATTTTTGGATGCGGCTGATTATCGATTCACATCTATACACAGAGTTTGGCCAGCTTGGATTGAGGGTACGTTTATGCTCACCCTTTTCTGGCCAGAATGAGGCATTTGTTACGCGTTTAGTTCAAAACACGGTTGCGTCCTTTCTCATTTTTGTAGAATCACAGAAAAACGGCGATCGTAAACTCACAAAAAGGTGCGTTTTGGATCGGCGATTCTGCAAAATCAGCGATTCTGGGAAGCATAAACACACAATCATTTGTAAACGCGTTTAAATGGGGTCAACGTAGCATGCGCAGTGCAGGTTTGCAAATCCAGCTGCAAGGCAACCCAGCCAGAATCATGCCTGGAGGAGCCAGAGAAGTGAGCATAAACAGTAGACCGTGAAACTGCGATTACGATGAGCGTTTATGATGAGCGTTTCAAATCGCTCATTCTGCCTTCAAAATTGAGCATAAACGTACCCTCACCTCAGTTGGTCACGACACGGCGACACAGCGACACGGCGTGTATTAAATCATTCTTTTGTTTTTAAACTTTTCCCCACCTTACTCGAACCGGGTTGGCCAAACTGACTCTCCCGATCAATAGCACTGTCACAGGAAAAAGAACAGCGCCATCACCTAAGCTACAAAAGTCTTCGTCTCCCCTTGTCCCTTTTTGCTGTTTGATCGGGTGGTGTTGACCAGGGGAGGTGAGGGGGGGGGGGGGTGGACCGGTGGAGGCATATGCCCCCATCGCCTCCATAGCTTCCTCACTGCTGACAATAATTAACGTGATCAACATCGCATTTATAATTTTACAGAACAGTTACAAGTTACAACCGAGGATACAAAAATCTTATAGGGCAAAGACAAAATTGGAACATGCGATTGGTCTAATAACGACATTGGCTTTGGGCTGTATTCTAAAAAGGGAAAATGTAGATGTATGGGTTTTTAGTGGGTTTTGGGTTGATTTAGGGTTTTGTTTAGGGTTAAGGTTATAATGCGACGTGCTTCGATGTGAAGAATTCGAATGCAGCGTTAGAAATTAACCGCGAAGCAACAGCCGTAGCAACATGTCGTACAATCGGAAATCGATCCGTGCCCTTGACTGTGTTTTTTTCTTTTTCAAACAGAGGCAGTTGAATAGCATGAAACAGAATGATAAATATAAACAAACAAGACAGCGTTTGGCATTGATCGCAAGCAAACCAATAATTCGTAGGGGCCAGGGCAAGTGTGTGTGGCTATTTTTACAAGTCGCGGAAAGAGTTTGCCTATAATATGTAGGCCTACTGCGTGGATGCTTTCTTAGTTTTGCTTTGTCTCTGACATAGACGGTAAGTCCTGTAATACTAGTGTAGCTAACTTTTCACCCACTATTGTAGGAGGGGGGGGGGGGGGGTAGCCGTCCCAAATTTACCATCAGAAATCTAGCTATTATCGCACGCAGGCAACAAATGAGTTGGTGACCATAACTGGCATAAGTTCACGGCGCGGCACAATTTCGACAGGGCCCCTACGCTGTCTTTTCCCCTCCCCCTCCGATATCAACTTCAAATTTGGATAATTGCGAGAAAGCAAGAAAAGCTGGAAGACCGAGCAAGAGAAGAGACATTTAAACCCTTTATCACCGTGAAAGTGTTAGGTTCTTCATAATAAGGCTTCATTATATACCACTTTGCTGCCTAAATACGCGGTGACTGTTGCTCGGCAAATTTTGACTTCACGTAGGGGGGGGGGGGGGGGGAGCACTAATTTGTTGGTGTTTTTTTGCTCCCGAAAATTTGAAAATTCCCCGGTCCCCCCTGGATCTCTCCCTTAGAACGTCTCCCTTTTCATTGAAATATTAGAAAATTCTTTTCAAAAATGTCAAATCCCGACATCTATGCCATTTTGAAAGCGGCGAGCTGGGGGTTAGTGACTATTCTGATATTCGCAATCGCAAGTAACCAAACAGCGCCATCAATACATACTCCAATTATTGTTTTATTGTGCCAGTGGATATTGCGTATGAGATGAGCGAAATTAAAGAGTGAAATGAATTTATGATAACTTCTCTTCTTTAATTATTTAGAAATAGAATGATTATTGAGATTTAATCTTCTCTCTAAATCGGAGGGACTTAAAGTGTTTCTGTGTGCGTCTGTGGGGGTGGGCGTGGAAAGACGCATCGCCCCCTCCAAAATCCAAATAGCACAATTGGAAGAAAAGGTTGGAAAGAACGTTTAAATTGATGAACTATCGCGAAGAAACAGTTCACCCCCTCCCTCTTATCGATAAATGCATTATCACGAATCACCCAGACGTTTTCGTTTTCCTTCTTCATAAATAATGAATTATACATTTATTGGATGAATTATCAGCTGGCGAGAAGAACAGGCTGACACGCCGTCCATTATTTATTTATTCTATATTTAGTTATTTATTGGTATGTATTTATTGGTATCTGACTGAGCAGAAGCACAGGCTAAAAGGATAATTTTACAATAAAATATACATAAAGGTCTTTTTGTTATACTTAACATTATAGATGATAAAGATAAATTATGATAATAAGAAGAAATGCAGTACATGCATGAGAAACAGAATACACATAAGCATTGAGTTATTTCAAAAGGATACATGATGCTATTGGGGCAGGCATTGGAATTGCATTTTGAAACGAACTAGTTTGAAGGTTTTCTGAATTTTGGAACGAAATATGAAGATATTTGTTTAAACCTGAACAATAATAACTAACCGAAGGAAACCTGCTGGAAATCAAGTTTTTTCTTTTAATAGTTTTTACATTTTGAAGACTGTTTCGTATGATTATGTGAGAATGTTATTCTCGTCATTATCAGAACTTTAGAGCCCCTCTAAAGTGTTGGGAGCCCAACAAATTTGATGGCAAAATTTCACTTAAATGACATTTCTGCAAGGATTCTCAAAACAAATGTGTTTGAAGTCGAATATTGATGAACGAATACAACATTTAGGTTTTCTGCGTACAACAGAAAACCCAAATTATGTTTTCTTTGATCAATATTATTTTGTATTCAAACACATTTTTTTAGGGGAACTTGAATATTTGCAGAAGTGTGTCATAAATGACATCCCTTTTACATTAAGATACTATCAAATTCTTGGCGAATGTGGGGCTCCTAACACATTAGAGGCTTTAACATTCCATGACGCCAATAGAACTATGTCACACTATGGAGACTGAGCAGATATTCGAAGTTACTAGTCTATGATGCTATTTTGAAGAGAATTGATGATGATTTGTTTTCCAGTGGCGGATCCAGGGGGGGGGGGGGCCGGGGGGCCCCCCCTTGAGAAAAAAATCATGTAAAATCACGTGATTTTTACCTTTTTTGGGGGTTGGGCCCCCCCCCCTGGCGCAAATTGAAATTTTTTTGAGGATCAAAAAAAAAAAAAAATGTACTCACTACCCCCCCCCCCCAAAATTCAAATTTTCGGGAGCAAAAAAAAAAAAAGTTGGGCCCCCTCCCCTAAGAAATCCTGGATCCGCGCCTGTTCCTACCCGCCGAGAGCGTTATGTAGTATTGTTACTTTGTGTTAGGTCAAATGTTTAATCATAGCGAAAGAAAGTTGTAGAGGGGAGAGGGGAGGGGAAGAGAGAGGGAGGGAAAGAGGGAAGGACTGTGGATGAGAGAGAGAGAGAGGGAGAGAGAGAGAGAGAGAGAGAGAGAGAGAGAGAGAGAGAGAGAGAGAGAAACTAAGGCCATTGTCTTAGAAAAATACAAGATGATTTGACATGGGTATAACAAATTATAACAATTACAAGGGAATGACAATTAAGTCCATGCTATCAATGATTTGAGTATTAAGAAACTGTCCTTTATCAACCGTGATTATGTCCATTACAATAATTGATATTGAAGGAAATAATTAAACATGGAAATGACTTCAAAGAACGTGGAAATATTTAGTATTCAATAACATTCAGTAACTTCAAAAGCCATCAATTATTATTAATATCCTTCTGAAGGATATTAGAACCCCGCGTACTTAGTATGTGAATAGTAGGCGTACTTTTTTCTCTCTATGTATACGATATCGCCCGGTAACTGCGAAATCGAGTTATGAAATTATAATGAAACGGATATTTCTACCCCAAAGAGCGAAGCATAAAAACCACACCGCAAAATGATAATATGAAACATATTCGAGACTGTTTCGAAAGCTGGACGAGTCCATTATATTTAGACGCATGTGATGATGATGATACAGCTACCTAGCGGTGTATACAAGACAGTTGGGGCTCGCTGGAGGAATGCACAGGCGCCTATTTCTCGGATCAAGTTGGTGTAAACTCACTATAATTATGGTAACGCTCTGATAATACATCAATAACATGTGAATCCCGTGTTTACCAACTTGGACCTGTACTTCTCCAGATGGTTTTCGTATCACACGGTTGTCTTTTTATAGCCAATGATCGACAAAGCATCTGTTTGAAACAATTTTTTTGAATATGTCGTCTGCAGCTGCAACTATCGTGTAATCTATGCAGAGTGGAGTAACCCGTACCTATAACAGGTGAGCACGTATCTTGCTTGGTAGACTTAACGCCCGGGAAAGTCCCCGTGGGGATCATCGCGGTGCATGGGTCGCTCTGGCTGGCAGAGACTTGGGCCGTTGGGGGTAAGGGACTCTAGATTGTGCTATGATGGATTTATGCAATATTCATGATTTCTCTTTACTCATCCAGTTTTTTGTTGTTCGCTACTGAGCTGTGATACCATGTGAGTCTGTGCTAGCTGTGTTGGAACCATCTGCTTTTGTGTGAGATATGTTTTTGTAATGGCAAATGGGAGACTTGAAAAGTTTGCAGGCTTTCTGCAACAAGGCCAATGTGTATATATATATGATAGTTTTACTGGGTAGTAAAATTCTTTGAATTTGAAAATGACTCAATATCTTGTTGAATTAAAATCATAAAGAGATATGTACAAGAAGGAGATTTAATAGTTGAGTCAATGTAATACATATGTTGTTCATATCAACCTTTCTTCAGTGTTGGTCACACAGTCTGAGATAATTAGGCCTTGTATGATTATTCCATTTGATAACAACCATTATATGCATGTAGAATTAATACTTTTCTACATTTAACTTAAAGGATTAGAGATCATTATCGTAAATGATGTGTTAGATCTATGCAATTGTGTATATATTTAGGAACATGTGTATGCACCCAAATTTCAATATTTAATTTATTTTTCTTGTAGGTTAGTTATCTTTGACAATATCTCAAAAGGTTGTTATAATGATGTATGAGCATACATGTAATCAAAAGGAATACATAATTTAATTTAAAAAAATTGTAATTATTCTTTATAAAAACACAGATATGCAACTTGAGACATTTATATGACATTCTAATTTGTAATTATGAGAATGATACAAATGTCTCAAGTTACAACTTTGCTGTCAATATGTTTTTTAAATGTTTTGCACAAAGCAATCCTTCCATTAATTGGTGCGTATTGTTTTGTGCAAAATGGCATGCGCAGCAAACAAGCGACTGTGCAGAGAGGCGAAGAAAGCAACGGGGCGGGGGGGGGGGGGGGGGGGGGGGGCATTTCACAAAACTTGTCATCAGTGACAAATGACAGTTTTTGTTATAAGCTACTGAAATCCTTGCTTCTGATTGGTTATCAGCAGATTTGTCACTGATTTTTGTAATTTGTCATTGAACAAAAGGTTTGTGAAACGGGTCCCAGAAGTGTTATCATTGAAGTCCACTCCATTGCTTGATGATTGAAGATATTAATCGAATGCAACCCTTGTAATCCAGCCTTGCATGTTGCTGGTGCTGGGATGTCGGAAAGGATGCGAGCATGGCATATGTTCCCTAGAAAGTGATTTATTGGCAATTATTTTATGCAAACAGTGGATAAACAGATCCATCATTGGCTTTTTCCTATGTTCATATGGACAGAGTTCGACCAGGACTCATATTTCATAGAAATGGATGGTTGGGAGAGAAACAGTAATTAGTGTTTGTATAATCATGGATCTACGTAGGTCCATGGTATAATTGCGTATACTGTTGTTGTTGTTGTTGTCTGTGAGGGAAATGGTAGCCTGTAAAAGAGCCAAGGACTTTTATTATCACAAATATGTATCATAACATTCAATGTCAACAAGATGCACAAGAGAAGAGGGAGACTCAGAGAGAGAGAGAGAGAGAGAGCAAGGGAAAGAAAAACATGAGAGAGAAAAGGAGAAAGAAAGAGAGATAGAACAAAGGAGGGTAAAGAGGGAGAAAGAGAGAAATAGTGAGAGAGAGAGAGATAGATAGAGAGAGAGAGGGGGAGGAGGGAGGAGAGAGAGAGAGAGAGAGAGAGAGAGAGAGAGAGAGAGAGAGAAAGAGAGAGGTGGAGGGAGAGGGGATAGAGGGACACAGTATAATCAGGCCCTTCATATTGTTTAGAGAAGTAAACAAAGATACTATAAAACAATATATACATGCATACATTTAGCATTACATGTATACAGTTTCAAGTTTCTGTTTATGATTGAATTCAAAATAATTAAATTTGAATTAAATACTATAAACACTGATTTTCTTCCCAATGAAATCTCTATCATCATGTTTCTTGTGACAGATTAGTGTATGGATAAAGAAGTCATTTTATGTTTAAGGAAGTTTATATTCAATTAAACTTGACAGTGGTAAACAGAGAGCAAACAGATAAATCATGGAGTTCTGCTTGTGGATACAGTTCACACAGGGCTCATATTTTATAGGGCAGTTTCAACTATTTATAGAGAGAACTTGCAATTTGTATTCATGTAATGTGCACATTTTGAGTGTTTCATGGAATATCCTAAAAAAGAGTGCTGTCCTACGTCAGTTACATTATACAGTCAGGACTTAGGAGCATGCATCGCAGAAGATGGGAAACATGTAGGAGGATGGATAGATATAGGAATATATTGAAAGAGAGAGAGAGGGGGAGGGAGGGGGGAATAAGGTAGAGAGGAGAGGAAGAGAGGAAGAGAGAGTGTCTGATAGAGAGAGGGGGAGAGGCAGAAGAAAAGAGAAGAAAAAAGAGAGTGGGTAATACAAGAGAGAGAGAATGAGAGAGAGAGAGAGGGAGAGAGAGAGAGAGAGAGAGAGTGAAAGGGAGGGAGAGAGAGACAGAGGAAAGAGAGAAAGAGAGAGAATAAGAGAGAGAGAGAGAGAGAGAGAGAGAGAGAGAAACAGAGAGAGAATGGAGAAAGAGGGGAATAGAAGAAGAAAGAAATAGAGAAGAATGGAGTAATAAAGAAGAAAGTGCTGGAAAGCAAGAGAGAGGGAAAGACTTTGGAGAACAGAAAATTGATTGTGAGAAATGTGGAAGTACATTGTAGAGTTACAAGGAGAAAAAAGAAAGGAAGAGTGATGGAAAGGGCAATGATATGGAGAGGATGACAAGTCCATGTACATATCGATGAGATATGTGAATTTCCATCATTTTGGGGTAAGGATTCAGAAGTTCTTTGATATATCTTTCTTTCAGATCAGAATTTTGAGCCAAGACCGACCTACACTAGGACAATGTCAGCACCCTGCTGCAAGGTGGTATGAAGCTTATTGATAAGATGGCAAGTTGCAGTGTTACTCTGGAGCAAAACCATCCAAGAAGCCCTTGCATTATAATCTCAAAAGGTAAGCCATTCAATAATAATCATAATGATAATAATAATTATATTAATGATGATAATTGGATTTACGTGGCCTTTTCCAGAGGATACAATGCACTTTTCCTAGCCTAAGGACAAATTAAAAATTGGAGAGGTATTTTTCCAGATGTTTCAAAAGAAGTTGATTAAAGTAATGTATTTCCTAGGAATGCAATCAAGATAAAAAAAGTAACAAATATAGTCCCTTTTTTAGGGGGGGGGGGGGTAGTCACAGGTAGGGTAACGATTTGTACTGATAGTGAACAAACAAAAAGCCATCCTCTCCTCTGCATCACATCTGTTGAAAGTCTCATTTTGTTCCTCCTTTTCAAGCCCAAGGTATGATAATACGCCAACAACTGTTTGTACTATACTGGGAAGAAGAAGAGAGTAGGCGAGAGATGCTGGACACCATGGTTAACCTTTGACCTTTAAACCTTTACCCTTTAACCTTTTAAACTTTTACAGCATCAAACAAGCCATTCTCTCCTCTGCATCACATCTGTGAGCAGTCTCGTTTTGCTCCTCCCGATGAGAGTAGGAGAGAGAGAGACACACGATAGAAACCATGGTTAACCTTTGACCTTTTAACCTTTTAACTGTTACAGCATCAAACAAAAAGCCTCTCCACTGCATCACATCTATGAGCAGCCTCGTTTTGCTCCTCTTGATGAGAGTAGGAGAGAGACGATAGAAACCATGGTTAACCTTTGACCTTTAAACCTTTACCCTTTAACCTTTTAAACTTTTACAGCATCAAACAAGCCATTCTCTCCTCTGCATCACATCTGTGAGTAGTCTCATTTTGTTCCTTCCGATGAGAGTAGGAGAGAGAGAGACACGATAGAAACCATGGTTAACCTTTGACCTTTTAACCTTTTAACTGTTACAGCATCAAACAAACCAGCCTCTCCACTGCATCACATCTATGAGCAGCCTCGTTTTTGCTCCTCCTGATGAGAGTAGGAGAGAGACGATAGAAACCATGGTTAACCTTTGACCTTTAAACCTTTACCCTTTAACCTTTTAACTGTTACAGCATCAAACAAGCCATCTTCTCCTCTGCATCACATCTGTGAGCAGCCTCATTTTGTTCCGCCCGATGAGAGTAGGAGAGAGACGATAGAAACCATGGTTTGTCAGAAGACAGAATCTGATCAGCTTCTTGATACAATCCCGGAAGAAACTACTGAGGTAGGTCTGACTCATAGATATATAATACATGGCTGCATAGGTGCACACGTGCATGACCTGATAGTTTTAAGCTCCACCCCACTTTAACTGAATAAGGAATATCATTAGGTTCCACCATTTTGACCGAATATCATTTGGGTTCCTCTTTACTTAAACCACAGGGATTGCAGTCTTTTCACTCTTCATTCTTGTATGGGCCATCACCTATTTGTGCATCCTGTAATTGAAATTCTTAATTGAAATGTAATGAATGTAGTATGTTTACTCAATTTATTGTTCCTGTATTTCCTTGCTGCCTATAGCTATCACCTAGTAAAAATAGCAGACATCAAATGTGAATTAAAAAGGCAAAATTATTTTACCGTGATGGGAAGTTTGTTTGGCCTATTATGATAATGTGAAATTGTGGTGTGAATTCAGATATAGGAGCCATTTTTATCTACATATTGACTTTAAAATGTGTACTTTATATGCAATATTTAATAATTTTTCCAAGTTTTCTTTGTTAAAATTGAAGAGCATATGATTTAGAATGTACAATTCCTTTTATTGTACTGGGTTACTCTTGTGTCTTTTCTTAGTCAGTGATGTGGAAATGTTTGAAATCTTGTAAATTTTGTGTGTGGTGGCACAATACTGTTGTCTTCCTACAAGCAATGATGTGATTTAAGTCATTGTGAAAAATATTATGAAAAGATTTACAAAACCTTGTATGACTATAAAGCAAGCATGAAGTATTCCACATAATCTTTAGCACAATGTAACTGCAAGCTATATTTAAATATATATTTTGTCCAATTTTGAATACAGCCATCCCCAGCCAGGGAAGGGAATGATAACCAGAGTCTTGTCACCTCAGAGGCTGTCGTTTGTACTAAAACAGAATCAGATCACCTTCTTGAACCACTACCAGAAGGTATTGCAGATGTAAGTCATCTTTTCCTTTACTTTCTTTACTGTAATATAGTTGTTCACTCTTTGACTCAAGATATTTGTTACCATGCTAAAGGATTATTATCTTTTCTCTGATATACATCTCTCTCTGGAGTAATAGATGATAATTCAACTGTTTGGAAACAGAATGGTGTTTACTCATATATCTACACAAAGAATGAATAATGCCATTCTGGCTCTGAACGAAAAGAGGTATCAATTTTTTATCAATGTAAAGAGGTTAAGATTGGTCAATCAATCAATCAGTTGAGAGAGGTAGAGAAAGAGATAGAGATGGAGAGGGAGAGGGAGAGAGGAGAGAGAGAGAGAGAGAGAGAGAGAGAGAGAGATAGGGAGAGTGAGAGAGAGAGAGAAAATGGGGATGTTGAATAAGTATTTCACACAGAATCAATCCTAAATTATATTTATCTAAATGTATGTTTTGTTTAACTTTAAAATCACCCAATATTAAGTCTGTTTGAGTCTTCCTATGAGCAAAAAGCCTTTTTGCCTTTCTGTGTGTTGAGGCTTTTAATTAGATGATTGATAATCATGCCTATATAGACATTGGAAAATCAATCTACACTTTTAATTTACATTTATTTTGTCCATGACCATTGCAGTTTTGATATGTATGAAAATATCTTTAAGTGATTCTCATGCAGCTAATTTTCTCTTAAAATATAACTATGATGTGTTTCTCATTTTGGGGTTGTTGTGTGATATATCAACATTTACTAAAGAAAATGTAAAGCATTTATCAGTGGTGATTCATAAATGGAGTTCTTGCGGTATCATCTTCCGGTATTAGTCATCTTATTAACCCTTAATAAATCAATTATTGGATTCAATAAATAGCAAGCTAAGTCAACCTCTAAAAAAAGAAAGATAAAGAAAAGGAGATGGAGAGAAGGTTTATGAATGAAATTCAATTTCCTCTTTCTGAAGAGTGGTAGTGCAATGTGAGAAGGCATATCACTCGCTCAGAGCCAGAAGGCCGTAGAATTATATACTTTTACACAGAGTTAACGCCCTTCTGGCTCTCAACGGAGGATATATTGAAATCTAAACAAATCAGAAAGCCGGAGTTCCTCCGTACCGTACTACGGTGCAACATCCGATGATTGAAGGAGTCAGAGGTGTGATATATTACAAACTTAGCACCTAGAAGGAAGCGTCCTGGAAAATGAGAAATGTGCAAGCAGCGTTCAGGCCAGTCATCTCCTCGATTCAGCTCTGAGTTCAGATGTTGGGGTGTGTTCATACTGGAAGTTTATTTGTTTTGTTGGAAAATGAGAAATGTGCAGGCAGCGTTCAGGCCAGTCGTCTCCTCGATTCAGCTCTGAATTCAGATGTTGGGGTGTGTTCGCACTTGAAGTATAGTGGATATATATATCAAATGTTAAAAAAGAAAAGAAAGAAATGTGCAGTAAGCATGCAAGTTAGTCATCAGCGGATCGAGTTAGGAGTTTCACATTTTAGGGTACCGGTAGTCAATTCATACTGGAAGGAAAATGGATATATCAAATGTTTTGTTGGAAAGTAGTAAAATGTCTAGTGTGAATGCAAGTCAGTCATCCGTGGATCCAGTTAGGAATTTCAGATTTTAGGGTATGTTCATACTGAAAGTAAAATGGATATATATCAAATGTCTCGTTGGAAAATAAGAAATGTGTAGTAAGCATGCAAGTCAAAGCATAGTGCTGAGATTAAGTAATTCTTTCAAAATCTTATGAACCCTGAAAGTGACAGTTGTGTACTAAAATCTTTCAAGAAGATAATTGGGAATAAATTATATAAGCATGTGCTTTAGCTCTTAGGCAAGGTGTGAACACATCTTAAATCTTGATAAATTGTGAGGTCAAGGTCCTTGGTTAGCCGTACCCCAAGGAAAGCAGGATTCTAGCTATGTTCATATGGGACAGTCAAAGTTTGAAATTGGAGATTGCCAAACTTAAAAAATTTATAATTCAATAACGATGACGAGGGTTCAGGAGGGACCAAATGTCCCAGAAACCACAAGTATTTTAACAAAAAAATTAATTGTGTCCACCTGGCACATAGCTTCGAATGAGGACCCTTGTTGCTTGTAGTTATTGCACTAACCTTTAGATCACTAATGGTTTCCAACTTCAAGTATACTTCAAGTTTTGTAACCGCAAGTACATGTACTACAAGAAAGCTTTTAATTTTAAAACCACAACCTAAACTTAATGTAAATGGATTGCTGTGTGAACCTTACCGCTGGCTCTATACTAGAATCCTCACGCTTGAAATATTCACCAAAATCTTTTAACAATTTACAGCATAAAATTGCTCTTGAAAATTTGGCCGGCCTGCCTGGATGGTGGATGGTATTTAATTGATGAGCCGAGTAGGTCAATATTTACATGTACATGGAATGTGTAAATGATGAAAGGGTCCCTGGCATGTAACCTTAAATCATTGCCATCCTTTTTTTGTTCGTTTGATCTCTATTGCTGTCTCTGTCTCTGTCTCTGTCCGCTCCCCTTGCATTTCTTTCACTCTGTCCTTCTTTCTCTTTATTGCTCTCACTGTCCCCTTTTGTTTTGGTTTGTGTGTATTCCTAAGTTTTTATTTCATGTTATTTTGTCATTTGGCTCTATTCTTTTCTTTTTTTGCAAAATATGTATACGGTAGCCTAGAGTTATATTCTTAAGTTTGTACATCTGTTCATATCATAGACTTAATTAGTTTGTCACCTTATAGTATAGCTATATGGAACTTCACTAAAGTAAAATGGTCTATTGATACTGGATAGTGCAAAGTAGTAACTTGTGAATCTTTTTAGGTCTATATATTTGCATGAGCACAGCATGTTAATATTATATAAGCTAGGACAGAAGGTGTTACAGCTTAGCCATCTTGCAGTCTACAGACACAAAGAAAAGTACATCTATAAAGCCAGACTTTAATATGTCCATATTGATTTCATTCTTGGGTTGCAAAATGGCCTAATCAGCAGCCCCCTTTGAGTGGCCCGAGCAATCCCGACCTGGAGGCAAGCCTTTGTCACTGATTGGCTCAATGATTGACTTCATTCTTCCCCTCAAAGCCTTCAATGGTGTGTGGTTCCACTATCACACGTACACTAAAATCAATAGGTGGGGCTGATGTAGCCGGCTCGCCTCATAGACTAGCAGCTCAGCTGTGTAATCAGCCATTCGAGGGGCAGAAAATCAATAACAATGATGATTTTAACATTCAAGTGCCACAACATTCATGGTGGTGAAGCTTAATGAATATTAATAGTACAGAACATGACATGAAAATGCTCCATGGGCCAAGGTAGAATGAACCTGTAAGAATGTTCATCAATTCCATACTTTCTTGAGTTTGAATCACTATCGAGACCCTGGACAATAAGCAGCTAGTTTGTTATGTCCTTAAAATTCTACATAATTCATTCACAGATTTTTTCCCCATGATATATAGGCCTAAAATTTATTAATGTACTCCATAGGATAATTTGCATGCTCCCATGGTAGTTGTTACTATTTTTGTCTCATTTTTGTTGAGGTAAGTGAGTATCCTTCAAAATAGAAGACTTATAATGCTTCAGCTATCATAATCCCTTCTAAGATCTTACAACACATTTTTGTCTTCTTCTTTGAGATCTCAATGATAAGAGATTATTGTAATACCCAAAGAATGTGGCATATACCGGTATGTGTACTTCTGAACAGAAGCAAAAACTACATTTGCGAAGCATGATTGAATGAGGATCTTAAAAGCTTACTCACCTTCCTAAGAGACGCATTCATTGAAACATATACCTGTGCCGTTGAAGCATTAATTTTAGGGTTAATTTTACTTGAAACCTTGAAGTGAAGACGAAGAAGAACAAATCCTTTTCAGTAAAAAATATAGAGTTGATAATGTAGAGACAGGAATTTCATGAATGCAATTAGCATAGGAGATTAACACGAAGGCTGTATGTTGTCCTTCATTATGTTTGCTAACCCTCGATGAATTCAAAAGTATATAACTTAATTCCTTTCTGGATCTCAGAAGATGATTTGGGGATTACTCAGTGGAAATTCCCAATGTGAAGAGATTTTCAAATTATGGACTACCCAACATACCTGTCTATAAAGGTCACCCAAGGGAAACAGAACAAGTGGCCACTGTAGGCAGGTGGCCTTTATAGAGAGGTGAATACTAAGACAGGTTCCACTGTAGTTTGTTTGAAGCATGTTGAAGATCTTTGAATCAACACTTCTGACACAAAAAATGAGTATGTTGCTTGTGTTTTCCAATTGCAGAGATTTTGAGACATGTGCCTTTCCTAAAAATAAATGTATGACATCACCCCTAGATTATGGTATGATCCAAGCCCTAAATTGCATCAAGTTCTGGAAATATATTAGCAAGTCATAATTTATGGAATACCCAATTTGTATTTCTTGTAGATACAGTGCTATGCAAAAAAAAGCATTCTATACGAGGAATACATAGAAATGCTGTATTTTGGATTGAAGAAAACACTGTTTTTTCCGTCTATTTTCATATGTGTGAGATTTATATGGGCGTAAGAGGCGTCTGAGCTAATGAGGGGGTGATTACAGACTACAATAGTCTATTACCAGGTTATTCCTAGGATTGTTGATTTAGGCTATCATAATTAGGATCTCAACCTCTTCTTTTATTCCTGTTTTCACACCCATGGCATTACTTGTCGCCCCCTTTTCCCCTTTTTTGTCACCCTTCCTTTGTCCCCTTCTCTTTGCCCTCCATCACCTTCCTCCTGTGTTTCTTTTATTTGTTTTTTCTCTTTTTTCTTTTTCTTGCCACTCTCCTGCCATGAGTGAGTCACCCCTCTATTCACATCTCTCTCTATCTCTCTCTCCCTCCTGTTTCTCCTCTTCCCTTTCTCTCTGTCTCTCTGTCTCTCCCCTCTCTCTCTCTCTCTCTCCCCCCTCTCTCTCTCCCTCTCTCTCTCCCTTCTCTCTGTCTTTCTCATCTCTCTGTCTTTCTCATCTCTCTATCTCATTCTAACATTCTCCTCTATGTTTCTCCTCTTCTCTCTCTCTTCCTTCTCACCATCTCTCTTCTCTCTATCTTTCTTCTCTCTATCTCATTCTATCACTCTCCTCTATATTTCTCATCTCTCTATCACTCTCCAATCTCTGTCTCTTCTCTTTCTCCTCTCACCATCTTCTTGCTATATATCTCCTATCCCTATATACCTTCTCTCCCTATGTATACCTTTCCTCTCACTATCTCTGTCTCCC